CAGAGTTTTGTGAAACTTTGGTCTAATGACACATGCACCATCTGGTCCGTTCTCTCACGTAGAGTGACTGCCACAAGTAAATATCCACAGCTGGCCAAAATTACATTAACTCATCCAAAACACGATTGTTTTCACCAGTTCACTGCCAGCTGACATGGAAATGATTAAAGGTATTTTAGTTTGCATTGTTTTTTTCTTAATCACTGCTAAGAAATGCTGGCACACTGAAAGATTCTGAATTAAACCATTCAGTTACTGGAAAAATATTTAGAAAAATATGTCACCAGGCAAAACACAGAGATGATTTCTTTAAGAAAATCCAGAGCCTTTGCACATGGCATTTAGCTTGTAATATATTGCATATATATTGCATGTAAATATATTTCCTGAAGGGTATCAACAGTTTCTATTGTCATGTGACACCTCAAATCCGTCTCGATTCCAACTTCAGAAAGCTTAATGAGGCTGATTTTATATCCTATAGGAAATATTTAGTTTTCTAGACGAAAAACAAGTTGCTACACAGTGAATGATCTCCACTGTCTTATATTCAGCTTGTGCCATTATGATAAACCACATTGCCCTCTTTTGAAGCGGCAACATACTCTGGTTTTAGTTTGCAAATTATATGCCTTTCTAAGCCATAGAAAAGTGCACTGATACAGAAGATTCACACATCACTCATCAGCAGGCAAATTTGTCAAGCTCTACGTTTGATTTAATGTGCGGCCCGTAATGCAGCTCCATGCTGCAGATCAGGTCAAATGCAGCATGACGTTGTGTCCATGTTTGCATGTGCTGAACAAGCCAGAGAAACATGACGCAGTGGGTAGTCACAGTGGCTGTTGTTTTTTAGCTGTTCCTTTGAGATTATTCAAAACACTGATGCCCCAAATCTACTTTTTCAGCTTATGTGTCTCAGTTTTGTAAAGCAACTGTGAATTAAGCCGTACAATGATTTCAGAGGGAAAAATAGAGATATGTTATAAACACATCTAACTGAAGTGTCACAGTCACAGATTTCTAAAACCATACTCACACCAAAGAGGCAAGCTGCCATACAAATGAGCTATAAAGAGGTCTGCAGTGGAGTGGCTCCGTAGAGTCTGGTCAGATTTAAATAATATGATGGGATATAATAGAAAACCAGTGGTCCACATCTAAATTTTTGGAGAGGGATTTACATCCTCACAGTATAAGATAAATGATTCCATTCAGGTTGGAGTGATCCCATTTCTGAATGCTGATCAACTCTTTTCACAGCTGACTGCTTTGCAGGCCAAGGTGCATTACCTGAGGTACCTCAGTGAACTCAAACTGTATGGAGGAAGGGAATTCAGATCGATACTTTTGGTAAGGCGTTGCCTGCAGAAATGATTGTCAAAGCTCTTTAAAACGCTTCCTTTGAGAAATGTTTTAGGCACAAATTCTCTTCAGATTGATTTTGAGCTATTTTAAACTGTTCTATACAGCAAGGTGAGAAACAGACGGACGTGACACTCCTAGTGGGTCCACGATATGGAATCAGTCACGTTATCAACGCTCGGACCAACCTGGTCGCCCTGTTGGCAGACTTCAGTCATGTTAACCGCATCGAGATCCTGACTGAGGATGAGACAAATGTCCGACTGGAGCTTCATGTTCTGGATGTCAGGGTGAGCATACTTGAGAACAGATTGTTAGCTTTGTTCTGCACATGCATTTCTCATTTATTCCTTTATCCTTTCTTTTCCAGCCTATCACACTGATCATGGAGTCAAGTGATGCAATGAACCTTGCTTGTCTCACAGCAGGTTACTATCGCCTCCTAGTGGACTCAAGGAGATCTATTTTCAATATGGCCCATTGTAATAGCACAGGAGGGGATGTCGCTGGTGAGTTAATTGGACTTTAAGTGACAGTATAAAACAAGAGCTTATGCGGTTCTTCTTTCTACATCCTAACTTATGTAAGAGAAAGCAACAAAAAAAAATCCATGACAAGCAATAAGAAGAGGCATCAGTATAAAGTCTTAAAAGAATTAAGTTTTGTTTTCCTTCTGTCTGCAGGTCAGGATCGTGTCCTCGAATGGCCGTACAGCACATCTTTAGGGGATGGTGAGGAGCAATCCCATGGACAAGGCTACAACAGGGAGTACCCAGACAATGGGGAGAGGGAAAACAGCATTTCTCCTTATTGCCAAGAACCCACAAATCCTGATAGCAACTTTAGGGCACAAGGAAGTCCCGTGCCCCCTCCTCTTCCCCCTGCCAGACACAAAACTCAGGACTCACCTCGAAATGCCAAAGTGTCATTTATATTTGGAGGAAATCCACCATTGAATAGACCTAAGAAATTAGACTACGAAAGATTGTCAGAGAGTCCGGAGCTGTCAGAGAGCAGACCGCCCTACTTGCACAACAACACAGACTTTGAGCAGCAAGACAGAGTGCCATTCCAGTTAAGTGGTCTCACGCATGTTTACAGCAACATTATAACCGAGGAAGGGGGCGAGGAGCCAGTTCTAAGAGATCTCTTTTATCGTGACACTACTGATGATGCAGAAGATGATGACGATGCTTCATGTGAGGAGGACTCCACTGGGGGGACTCCAATGAGTGAAAGCAGACACGGAGATGTAGACTGTACCAACCAGAGTGGAGGGTTGCCAACTGCTGCCAGCAAAGCTACTTTTCTTAAGCTTTCGGGTTCTACAGATGACATCATCGACCTGACGGAGCTGCCCCCTCCCGAGGGGGATGACGGTGTTGACGAAGATGAGGATGACACGCTGCTGCAGACGCTCAACCTCGCCATCGCAGCTCCGCCTCCAGGCTTTCGGGATAGTTCGGATGAGGACACCGCCCCTGAGGGAAGGCCACTGAGCACATGTGATAATGACGATATACCAGTATCAATGATTGATGCTATTTCAGCACAAGGGGAGGAGGGAGGGAGCAGAGAAGGGGAAACACGGTTGGACAATGCAGTCATGAATACTCTACAAGCACTGGAGAATCTGTCAGTGTCGGAACAGCGACCTCCTCCACCGCCACCCAGTAGAAACCACCCAGGTCTGTTGCATATGTAAAATGACTGGAATGTTTGATTGGTGAAACTTGTATTTTCATTTAGCATCAAATAACATTCATTGTCACCCTTTCCAACATTAAATGAATCCCTCATTTCAAACTTTAATGTTTCAGTAAGGTAATACAGCAACATGATGTCTGAATTGTTGATAAATGATTCATGTGTAACTTTTCATCTCTTATCGTTTAGGTGTGTACACATCTCATGGCTTCAGCCCAGAGTCATCCTCAGACTCTGGCAATGAGACAAACTCCTCAGAAATGACAGAAATCTCTGAATTAGCTGCTACTCACAGGCTCAGCGAGAGCCACATGCGACTTTTGGTGGCCACAAGGGAAGGATACCAACCTCTACTTGAGGAGAAAACTGAATTTCCTGTCTCACCAAATACACAAAGTACAGGAGAAAGGAAACATCGTAGCCCAACACGGCATCTTCAACCTCCTGCAGTTCCCCCGAGACGGAGTCCGCAGTTAGACACAGCCTCATCGGGACCAGACAGACTGGAGGTGAGGTCCCAGACTAATCTGTCTGCCACCCTCCAGCGTCCAAGTTCCACCACACCAGGAGGCAAGCACCATAAAAAATCAGCAGACTCCAGTGGGAAGTACAACACCTTCAGCACAAGGGAAGGCAGCAGAAGGCGAAGCTGTCTTGACATAGAACAGCGCACTTCATTCTGTGAACAAGACGAAAGTAAAAGAAGACAAAACTCTTTTGTCGCTGAAAATTCTATAACTGAGGATATTGGAGTAAACAGCCTGCCTGACTGTCGCAGAAACACCCGCCCCTCCTCTACTGTTTCTGACCGCTTCCTAGATATTGTCAGCTTGGGTAACGGTGCTGCAGATAATGGAGCTGCAGGTGCTGAGCAAGATGAACATCTAGTCGTAGCATCTTTGCTTTCTCCGTCCAAAAAATCCAGAGCTGGGGGATCTGACCAGGGCTCAGACATACAAAGTGACCACCTGACAATTTCAAGACAGCAGAGTGTTGCACGGTTGTGTGAGTACCATCTGGCTAAAAGAATCTCAAATTTGCAAGGTGAAACCCACAGTTCGCTGCAGGGTTCTCTTTGCTCATCTCTGGACGCCGGTGGCAGCACCAACAGCAGCACCTGTGCTACACCAACCGACTCTCCTCTTGGCCCTGGTGCTGTTGAACCCAAACACCACCATCTGCAAAGGCACCCACTATCTAGTTCCTCCTCATCACTGCTTAGAGTGCTAAACTGTGAGGAGAACCAGCCCGGTGTCTCTTTAGGTATTCCTGGCCAGACCACTCAGGGGAAAGACCTCCATCCTCATGCAGATCCCATGCTTCTTCGGAAAATGTTGCCTAACATGCACCCCCCTCTTTCTGGGAAAGAGTCAGGCAGACCCTCATCAGCTACACCACCTAAGCATAAAGAGGCTACAGCTATTGGAAGTAAAAAGTCCCTCAATGACATGCATTCTAAGCAGCAAGCGTGTTTGAAGGGGCTTAACTCAAAGGAAGGCAGTGAAGCCTACAGACATTTGATTAACTACCTAACAGTCAGCCAGATGCATCAGGGGGGGAAGCTGCAGAGTGCAGGTATGGGTGGGACACTGAAAAAGGACACCAGGCGATTTATAACAAGCAACCCTCAACTTTTTGAAATGGTCAAGAACAGGGGAAACAATATTGGCCGCTGTCCATGTATGCCTTCTTCCATATCGTCCCCATTTCTCAGCCCAAACTTGGCTCCATCTCAAGCTGCCCCATTGCAGGTTGCAAATAAAAATCCACAGTATTACCATTCTGCCACTCTCCCTGCCAAACTCAAAAGAAGCCCTGATATGCACGCTGAAAGACCGAACAGCAGTTTAGATTTCAGTCAATCTATTGCAGGGAGGAGGAGCTCCTTTTCTGGCCTGGAGAGTGAGTTCATAAGGAACGGTATGGATCCAGATCAACTTCTCTCTCTCTGTAGAAGAGAGGACTGCATTAATCGGGAGGGTGGAATTAATCCAAACAGAAATCGTGATGGAGGTGCTGATAACCGCCCTCCCCCGCGCTCAAGGAGCCAACCAAGTTGCAGCACTGACGACTGGTTCAAATCAGATCCAAGGGCAAAACATGCTGCCCGTCAGTCTTATCCCCGACAGAATGACTCTCTTTGCTTGTCTGCTGCTCCAAATTTGAGTGCCCAGTGTGCTGACCACAGCACTGTCTCAATAGGAAGGGGAGACCATCCATCAGCTTTTATCAGACAGGCACCTAGCAGCACTAGAGCTTGTATTATGTCTCCTACGCCCAAGCCACAACCTCCACCACCTCCTCCTTTATCTTTACCCACGCAGTCCACCCTTATCTCCAGCAACTCAGGATGCCCACAAGATTCTATCCATTCTATCCAGTCTCGGCAGAATCTGAACCACATGAATGCAGTCACTCCAACCCTGTCAACGACAGACCCCCTCAGATGTAGCATGCAACGTGGCAGGGAGCTGAAGCGTAGCTCCAGCAATGTGACCACCGGTTCAGGAAGTGCAGAAGTTCTGTTTGATAAGCCCACACGAAGCCGGAGCCAGCAGCCCATGTCACCGCCTGGGTCCCATCAAGGTGACTCAAAAGTCCAACGTAGACCAACAAAGAAACGTCTGTCCAAGAGCTACTCCCAAGGCTCTGTATTCTCCCACACCAGCTGCTGGTCCACAGGCAGTGGGGTAGACAGCAGACGAGCATCTGTTGCTTTTCCGTTACAAAAAGACTCGAAACACATGAAGGGCTCTCAGAAACTGGACACCAGTCCCTGGAGATGCAACGGCCCCTTTAGCTACTGTTTTTTTAAGCGTCAGAATGAAGGAGATGAGGATGAAATTGAATGGGAGAGGCCAAGAGGAAGACATGGCGCAGGCAGTATGGACAGTAACAATGCCGCTGCATCATTCATATCTCCATGCAGCTCAACAGTGGATGCTTCAGGGGAGCAGCTGTATGGAGAGGTCCTCAATAACATGAGTTTTAGTGATCGTCTGTCACGAATCAATGCTCTCAAAGACCGCATGTACAGTTTCCCCTCTGGGTTTACAGATGTCCGCCGTGATGCCAGTGAGCTCATCGCGTTAGTGAGATCCAGCGTGGGCAGATGTGATCGTGGAGTTCAGATGCCTCTCCAGGACGTCTCCCAGTACAAACAACTCCTGTCTGTTGAGTCGAAGGAGTTAGGCCGGGCATGTCGCAGGATGGCACAAGCCCACAGTAGTCCAGATGAAATGCTGCTAGCGATAACATGTAGCTTTCAGGTGCTATGCTGCCTCTGCGAAGCTTGTATGTGTCTGGTCAGGTGTCTTGGAACCTCTGCTGCACACCAGCAAAGAGAGGTAGTGGCAAAGGTTGACGAGGTTGTTATGAACTATATCTGCTTGCTCAAAGCAGCAGAGGCTGCCACCATAGGGGCACCAGGGGAGCACAGCGTGAAAGCCCTGGTCCGCCACTCCAGTACCATGTCGGCCATTGCTAATGCACTCACCCGCTCCCTTAAAACGCTGCTAAGCAAGTAGAGGCTATTCTTAATGCTTTATAGTGTGGCCTATACAGTCAGTGGAAGTCTATCTTCAAGCATCTTGCTGTTGAGGTGTCTAGAAAAGTTGCATATTTTTCTTAATGTGTCTGCGCGTTATTTATGTCAAAACTTTCAAAGAAGTGCAAGACTTGTTGAGGTTACAATTAACATTAAAGTTGCATTAGTTTTGAACAGATTAGTAAGATGCTTAAAGAATATCATCTGACTGCACTTGCTTTTCTGATGACATCGTTGTAATGTATATTCACAAAGCCATACTCTCACAATCCTTTGTAATATATGTACCTAATAGATTATTATATCCTTTTACCTGTGCTTTATGTAACTTATTTAATGTGTATATAATGCATAGAGATATCATAAAACTATATTATTTGCAGTTTAAAGAAGCCCTGAAACACAGAGCAGGGCTTGGTGAATTAATTTGCCATTTTATTCTTGAGGAACAGTTTTAAACAGATATGATACACTTATTGTTGTAAAAGAATTATTGTAGAGTTACAAGTAAAACTGTGTCACTGGCAGCATAGTAAAAACTGTCACATCAAATTAACTTGTTGATAATCAGCCGTATTTCTAAAATTAAAATTGAATTAAACCTAAGTTTACCTGCAAAGCAATTTTGTTTATTTGGAAGACAACAGAAATATTTGCTAAATGTGTGGAAAATACAAGGATGCTGTCATCACAAATGGGCTTATGACTTTGTAGTTGTAATATTTAACTGGAATACTTTCTGAAAACAGTAATAAGTAGAGAGTAATAATTTTCACAAAAATAGCATACACAACATTGTATTATTGAAATATCTAGTGTTTAAAAATGGAAAGAATTATTCCATATTCACCAATGTATTAATTAGATCAAATTCTTAGAATATTTTTTTGTAATACTCTGTTTTGGGATATGTTTTGTGCTTTATTAATTTATTATTCAACACAGTGTATCATGATGCAGGTATATCTTTTAAGAAATATTATAAGAAAGATCTTTTTTGTTGTTTTTTCAAAAATCCAACATCTATTAAAACAAGTTTTACACATAAATGTGTGTGATTTTTGTCGTTGTTTGTCCTTCTTTCATTCCACTCTGTTAAGAATCAAGTCATTTTTCATGTCAATTTAATTTGAAAAAAGTCCTTTTAGAGGAGATCCATTTTTTAAATTATTTTAGAGTTTAATTAGAAAGCTTTTTAACTTTGCTGCACTGTCACGTGGACACACCTAACGTGAGTTGCAGAGTGGCGTATTGTGGAATCTGTGCAGAATGGCCCATGCGTGCCCAACGTGCTGTTTCTCCACAGCGCAGAAAAGGGTGGGAGGGCGCCTCGCGTAATTAACATATTAGGCGCGTGTTCACGCACGCTGGGCCGTTAACCAATCAGATTACCCTATTCAGCAAAACCACGCCCGCGCGGCAACTCGTGTCGCGCGCCTCAACTGCATTGTGCAGAGGCAGAAGTTGTAGGTTTTACGTTGTTTTCACTTTGTCTGTGCGTTAACAATGCGTGGATTTTTGTTTTAAAGTGTTTAGTTCGAACCTGGCAAGTGGACAACATTTATGTGAGCAGAAGAGTTTCTTTTAGCTGAATTCACGATAGGAAAACTGAGCGTGGAAGAGTAATTGTCAGGTGGCTCGTGGGATTTAAAGTTCAGCTAATAGTAGCTGCTCAGACTATTAGCTGGTAGTTAGCTTCGTCATATTAACATTAGTTTGGTCACAATGGCAGCCATTTGTCAGCCACGACGTGCCTTGGTGGAAATACCTGAACCACAGCCCAAAATTGCAGGTTAGTCCGATACTCGATAGTTTGTTTATGGTTTAAAAACTTTCTTATTTGTATTGTTAATCCCACAGGTTCCACTGTGCTATCAAGCTAATGTTAACTTCACGGGTGCCCCCCCCCCCATTGGACCCTATCTATCATATAAATTTATCGTATATTTTATTGATAAAGTGTTTGCTATAATTTGATAAAACTATATGATATCGAAGACATTATAAATCTAAGCCACGTTCGTTTTAAGATGATAATGTAATTTTCTTGGGATTGATTTGGTTTTGTTTGTGATTCTCAGCTCGAATGAGGAGGTCCTATTTAGAAATTCTTAGTGCTCGTTTGGTCCCTTCTCAGCCTCCAAGGTCGAGATCCACAAACACGAAACGAGCGCAATCCTGTGAGTACCAAACTCAACCCCTCTTCATACGCCTAGTCAGATAAAGTAGGGCTGCACGAAAGAAAACGCAAAGAATGCATACAATATACACTATTCATCTATTTGTAAATATTCCTTCCAGATTTGATGCCAATTTGGTGCTTTCTCTGCTAATTCTGAGTCCAGTCAATGAAAAAATACAAAACACTTAAACATTTTAACATATGAAATATGGTATATTTGCACTAACAAAAGTATTTCTGTGGTCAGTGTGTTTGGGGGAAAATGTGAGGAAATTGAACAAGAGCTGGGAAAAGAAGTGACAAGCTTAAAAATCAACTGAAGGTGATGGGAAAAATGGAAGACCTTTGTGACAAGCTGAGAGATGCATCTGGAGCTAAAGTTGATCCATCCAATGGATTACACACAGTGGTCCATTTAACCTCTATTATTACCTCTCTCGCCAGCTCAGAGTTCAATCAGTATAGATCAACTTTTACTCAAACCCACCCTTCATAACACCAGTGTGCAGGTGCATCAGTCACTTATGTGTTCTAGCTAAAAAAAAAAGCATTTTTCACAGTATTCCTGATACAAGAAAAGTAGTAAAGGAGAGGCCCATTTATTTCATGCTGTACTATATAACACCATTTAATTTTTCTTGTCACTGTAGTTTTTGTGAGTGTATCATTTGTGATGTTTATAGCTTCTGAGAAACATTTCCTTGCTAGAATCTTTTCAGGTCAGCCTAAGATTATATGATTTCAGCCATTTGGAAACATTCTGTTTTTTTTTTATTTCCTCTGGAGCCTGCACCTGTCATTGTAAATTAAGCATTTTCAAGGTAAATGGCTCTTTATGAGTTTTACCTGCTCCCATTTTAGTTTACTACTGTAGCTGCAGTTTCCATCCATCCTTATTTGTCCTAATCATATTCCTCTGTCCAGCAGTAGATTTGTCGATTGATGGACTCTGGAGAGGAAGAGTAGAAGAAAGGTGTAAGATGGATGAACACCCAATGCCACTTTCCAAGCAGCAGCTTGTACAACTCATCAGATCTCTCATCTTAGTTGAACAGGTATTGACCCTGTGCTCACTCATCTGAAGTTTGTTTGCAAGATGTTCTGGATGCATTTGGGAACTCCATACATGTGAGAGGAAAATCTATAATATGTCATCAAGTAAATGAAAGAAAATGAATAACTCTGGGCCTTCCTAAACAGCTGATGTCTTTTATTGTCTGCAGAGCCACGAACCAAAGATCATGGCATCGGACCTGAAGTATCTTCAGGAAGACCTGCAGCTAAAGAAGGCAAATGTTTACAGGTCCATACCATACTCGCGGTTCGGCTCCAACAGGGATGCTCATTGCTACAGAAAGGCGTATCCTCATCTGGTGGCCTTTAAAGTTAGTATCTGTTCATTATTCCTCTTGTTTTGCAGATTTATGAAGTAGGAACCAGTTCCATCCTTGCAGTAGAGAAGTCTACCTGTTTGTCCCTGTTCACATAGATAAAGCCATGCTAATGTGCTACATCATTACCCCCCCCCCCCCCCACAGGTTTCCTGCCAGGAGTGGGGCCAAGTTCTTCTGAGGAACAAAATGTGGGATGTTGTATTGGAGCACTCCCTAATGGCGTGGCGTTACACTAGCGAGTTACCACAGTGGGACACCGCAGACCATAACGCTCTCCGAGAACAATGTTTCAACATTCTGGCAGCTCACAGCCTGGCCGCGCTGCAGCACTGCCGCCCCGAGCCCAGCAGAGGACGCGAGCTGCTCAGGAGGTGACTAGCAGTCAGCATTCTGTTCAATTTGTGTTACAGTTGTACTTACTGCCCTCTGAAGGCAAAACCTGGTAACTAAATAGCCATTGCAGTTTTTAATATATTTTTTTTTATGGGAAAAATGTTTTAAAACATTCACATTTCTACAAACTGTGGTGAACCAAATCACAAATAGCACCAAACCTCATGCAAAAGGCATCTGTAATTTTCTAATCAACAGGTTTTTCTTGATATTTGTTGTTTTTTGTGTCTTAGGCTGAAGGTGGCTCAGCTGCATAGCCAGTCCATAGTCCCCAGCATTGAAGAGCTGCAGAGGATTGTGGGATGCGCTGAAGACTTGGATACAAAATGATGAGATGCCTTATGATGAAATACGTGGATCCCATGTTATTGTGGGCCAAAAAGTTGTATATGGTGGTGATTGTTGAGGAAAACCATTACAGTATTCATCCAAAAAACGCGATAGCTGGTGCAAAAGGAACTGGAAGTACGCTAGAAGAGTGTCTGTAGAATTTAGCTTATGGACAAGGAGAGAAAGAACAAGTGCCTCTATAATGCAAACTTGAGAAAGTAGCCAACCGAAAACCATTTTTAAGTGGCCGAAAATTCAGTGACACCTCTGGATAAATGGAATTTTAGCTTGGACAACATGTTGCATTAAGATGACTCATCACTTTGTCTTAGTAACATCTGGATTTCTTTGCAGCCTGTTTGAAAACACACTTCCTTTGCTGATGAGCAGAAGTGATTGGTTGGCAGGAAAAATCTTGTATATCTTTTTATAGAGGTTTGTAGCATTTAGCTTGCATTGAAAACTGAAAAAAAGAAATCAAATGGCTTTTCCTGTTGCTTTCTATGTGGATGTGTGTTACTGTTTACCATACTTGAAACAGTGGCCTTTGTAATGTGAGTTGTTGGTAGAGAATCATTGTCATTTATTGCACTGTCGCCATTTCTCCTGAAAACTTGAACTTTTTTATAAGATGAATTCTAATTTAAATAAAGTTGACTTAAAGTGAACCGAAGTGTGTCTTTCATTTCAAACTTCATTCCTAACTTTCCTAACTTCACTCACGCATGTGCCTGTTAAATGTTACCTCTGAACCTCTGAAGTTGTGATGTGTTTGACAATTTGCAAAGCACCTTATTTTTGGACTTAAAGATGGGCCATTACAGCGGATTATAGGAATAAATCATCTTGGGGGTGTTTATTTGTGTTTTATGAACACTCTATAGTCATCTGTTCTCTTTAAATGACCCTTGAAGGCCGCTAGGTGGAGCTCAAGTTGCAGAGTTGTTGATCATGACAGTGTCATCTTGCAATGACTTTAGTAGGAAACCCATGTTAATGTCACTGGAGAAACAGCTGTTGCCATGGCACTGTGTGGAGTGAATATTACAGTTTTTTTTATATTATTTAGGGTCCAAGATAATGAATGAGAATGTGTTGGCTTATAATTAAACCTCTTGCTGTATTGACATTATTTCCCCTTGGAATTTAGGCTTTCCTGTGATAGCTGTAATTTTCTAAAGCTTTTTTCAAGGCTTTGCTGAAACGTTGGATTAATGCCTGTATTTGATTCCATGTACTGGTGTCTATTAATATTACAGCATATTTATTTGTATGTGGAGACCCACTCACATATTGTTGCCAGGGTTGCCGTTTGTATCAGATGCTATAACCCTCCTTTATGCAGCCCTTGTGTCGTTTCTTGAGATTAGACACTTTAAAGGGAGAAATGTGCACATTTTTCTCAGGGACTCTCATAGGAACTGCTTTTATAGAAAATTATCATTATAACCACCTTTTGACATCAATTGCTGAAAATAATTATGTTGTAAAAACTACTATCTGTAATTAACCTTTGTTTCAGTCTTTTTTTCTAATGATTTGGTTAAAAAAAAAGTCCCCTTTCTTTTATCTCAGTGCCATTATCCTCATTGTTTTTCATTAAAGAAAAGCCAATAGTTTTCCTGATATCATCTAAAAATAATCTGCCTACTGCCCCGTGTTTAGCTAAGGTTCAGTTGTGGAAAACAGGGTAAGGGTTTTACATCCTTAGTGGACAAACTCAGATTATCACTCAACTCTGGTCCTCTGTGCACTCTGTTGTCCTCCAGTATAAACCAGGTGCCCAGCTATAGATGCTCTATGTGGGAGTCTTTAGTTACATAAGAATGGCATGCTGAATTAGAAGTGTCTGTCAGGAGCTCTGATGTCAGCTATGAGACATACTCCTTCAGGATGTACATTAAAAGGGTTTCATGTGGAGATTTAAAAGCCTTCGTTGGTAAATGACTATGAGATTCAGAAAAAAAAAGAACTATCAGGACATAGGTTTTCCTCCTGTGTCATAGATGGGTTTTTGATTTAGCCTTTTCTCTGATGCCAAGATTGTTCGCTTCCTTCCATTCTTCCTTTGTAGCTTTACGCTCTGAGCAAACAAAACTGCATGTTTCTTATGTTTTGCTAAAGAAATTGATAATTCAAGGTTCAAAATGTTTTTGTTCAAATGCATTTGAAAGTTTGGGTTTTAGAAGTTTTTTAATCATTTTATTCCACTATTCTTTTCTTCTTATATATTATTTCTATGTATCATGACCATGTACTGTAAATGAAATGGCACATGAGACATGTTCTGGGTATCAGAACAGATTTAATTCATTTGGGTGTTATGTAATGGAAGGCAATAACATCAACCCAAAGGTAGCTTCCACTTGTTTTCAGATATGCTCAAAAAACAGGAATCCGAACAAAATCTAGGTCAGCGGTGTTCCGATTAAGGGAGCTAATTCATAAGCTACAGACAACAATGCAGCAGGATGATGTGGAAGAACCAAAAGAAGTCCAACACTAAAATAGCTCCGGGTGAGCAGGTGGATCTCGTTCCCACTGAGTAACGAAGTCCGGCTGTAAAGGTGTGAGACTTACATGGTAGGCATTCATCTACTGTACTACAATCCATTCATCTTCAGCCATCTAATATGTGGCTGACTTCCACCTGGGACGCCAGGTGAGCATAATTAACTGTAATTAACTAGCTGTGAGGCTGGAATCAGCAGCTCCCAAAGAGTTGCAGAAGGAGCTTGAGATGAGTGAACACGGCGGCTGAGTGTTTGTTTCTAGAAGGTCTGGATGGTCTCGCATCGCTTCGTCCGTCTCTTACACATCTGCACCTGTGTTCAAACATCTGTCGTCTCACCCTGGGCAAACCGGACTGAAAGAGAATGACGGAGAGGATTCTGACTACAGACGAACACACACACCTGAGCAGGTAGGGACACTGATAACAAAAGCTGCTGACCCTGAACTGGAAATGACTTTGCAGGCTTCTATCCTAAATTTTAGTTCTGTTTAGGGACAAAAAGATTACTGTTCAGATCCATTATTAATTCAAGATGGTAGTTCTATCATTTTATGTCTGACATTACAGCAAAATGCAGCTGATATTCTGACAAGAAAATGCCACTTAAAATGGTGTCAGAGTTATTATTTGACTGTACGTTACAGATGAATGTTCAAGAGAAGCTTTTTTTTTTTTTTTTCTTGAGTAGTAGTACAGCAGCAGTGTAAACAAAGCTGAAAGAAATGTAACCTGGACCTGAGTTTTGATGCTATAGAAGGATGTCGGGTTAATGTGACTATTAATAAAGTCAATGCAGCTGTAGCAACAGAAAGGCAGTGTGCAGCCACAAAGTCATTCCCAGTCTGTTTTTAAAATGTGGCTGCAAAGGGTACCCTGCCCTTGGAATAGCAGATATATATATATATATATATATATACATACATACACGATGTGGTATTTATGCAGAAGTCGACATACATATTTTGGAGCATTGTTTTCAATAGGTGACATGTTTGAATTGGTAAGACAAAGCCAAATGACAGCATAACTGTTGATGAACGGCGTGGCTCTGAGATGTCATACACACGCCTGCATGCAGTTCAGACTTGTCAGCCATTTAAAATAAATAAAAAATTGGCCCCAAATAAAATTTGGGATACATCCTTTTTTTAAACGGAAGCTTAACATTTGGCATTCTACTCGATGAAATGCAGGATTTTATTGATATGGTTACATAGGCAGTATACTGAACATGCCTTTTTGTATTGGGATGTTTTGCATGTTATAATTGTAGACTTAACTGATGGACATCACAACTGGAACATGGACTTGTCTTACTTCTGAGGTTTCCATGTTTATTTGATAATGAGATGAGTCTTCCAATCTGACTCAGGACAGGTTGGTGATTGAGCATGAAACTTTTTTTATTTTTTTAATTATTTTTTTTAACTGTGAGCTCGTCATCACTTCAAAACAGCACAATTAAGAACATATTCTTTTATCCTTTTTAAAAAATGACATTTCTTTACGAATTGCCATTCATTGAGGCCAAAAGGTTTTGTTTTTGCTGATAAATTTGTGACTTAAATGCCAAGCATATTAAAATGTATTTGACATGTGGTAGGATTTGAAAATGAATGTTCTCATAATGGCACTGTCCACAGTAATCATTCCAAGTACTTTTAGGTGGCTGGAAATGGTTTTGCTCCCAGATTTTGACTCTGCTGCAAATGTGTAAAGTGTAGGTTGGTTCTATGAGGGCTGGAGGTCAGTGGAAGCAGGTGCTCATGAATAAAGAGGAAGTTAAATATGCGTGAGGTTATTAATTACAAGCCTGATATTTTTACATGCTTCTGTGCTTTGCATTTATCAGTTGGACGTAGCTTTCAATACTTCTGTGGCTTTTATCTATTTTATTAATATTTTTACACCTCATTTCTTCCTCCCTAACTTTCTGCCATCCTTAAAAAAAAATGTAAAGAAATGTTGCAGTGCAAAATGGCGACACCAGCTGTCCAAATGTCTCAGGCTTTTATTTTTCTCCTTGTCACTTGCAGTTATACTTTATTTTTTATTTATATTTCATGGTCGAAAAGGACAATTTGTTATAGAATAAGATACATGGAAAGCAGTTGCATAAATGAATGAAAAGGCACTTACTTTTTTTTTTTCAGTGAAACATCAACTCTCCCAAGCACTTTAAATATATGTTTTCATTTATTTATTCTATAACTTAGTGACTGATAGGGTCCCTTGTTCTCTTTTTGTCATACGTGAGTCCTGCTTTAGCTGTGTTTGTTTTTTCTTCTATGATCTAAAGTTCAGATGTTAACCTGTGAGAGGCTGTGGTGGAACCTGGCCGCCTCTAACTGTAATATAGTTTATGTCATGTTGTGTTTACCTGAGTTTTTCGAGAACTACTCTGAGCCTTTTTTTTTTCTTTTTTTTTTTAAGACATCTGTGACATAAAGGCATAGAAATAAAGGAAGGTATCCCGGGTTAGGTATGTTACTGGTCATCACCCATGCAGTTGGAAATTATTTCATGTCTCAACTTGATGAGGGAAGAGAAAACCGAACTAGTGAGGCAGCTGTGGTGTGAGAGCCGGGGACCTCTAACACAGAAGGTGCATGATGCTCATTAAGTGTGCAGGAAATTAAGTGATTAAGTGATCGTAGCACCACTGCTAGTTATTGAGGGTGTGTTTTTAAAAAGTAGTCATGTTAATAGCTTAGTGCTGGCTGTGTTACTCGTGAAAGGAAATTAATCTTGTCTATAATCATGTCACAAAAGCTTTCACTATTGAGTGGAGCGAGATTATTTTTCAACTAAACATGAAGAAGTTGAACCTTTCTCTGCCATGTGGTGTACATTACCGTGAGCATCACTGCAGCAACGCAGGTGAAGCCCCTGAAAGATGGCAGCCACAGACACAATAACTGCAGGTAGCAGAGTCTTAAAGACAGAGGCAAGGCAGAGAACAGCCTGGAAGGGGCCCTGTTCCAGGGTTCTGTGTCATTAGCTCGCTCTGAATTGGTGGCAGACTGCGCGAAAGCAAAGCGGTGGGGACAGTGATGCTGTTTTCATGGCTGATTAGAAAGGGCTGTTGGCCATCGCCTGTCCTCTTTCTAAGGGAACAATCTCCATCCAAGCAGTGTCTGACAGTAAGATTC